GAACTCTTTGGGGTCCCTTTTGTAAGAGCATTAGTCCTATAATGAGGGCTCCACTGTCACGACCTAATCACCTCCTAATCCCATCACACTGGGGGTTAGGATTTTAATACAGGAAATTGGGGGAGACACAAACCTTCAGTCTGTAACAGCGACTGAGGTCTAAGGGCTGAGATTCTGTACAAAAGTTACAACAGCCCCTGGTGGGGACGAGATGAATGGTGATTCAGAGGAGTGGAGGTGTTCCGGCCGGTCTGGACGTGACCTGGCCCCGTTTCCCTATCTGGAGAGGATGTGTTGGTCCCCCCCTCATGCCATCCCATGAGTCCCTTTAGCCATTGAGCCCGGTGGGTCGGGCAGCCATGGCGTCAGGCAAGACAGCACACAGGCCTGGCTCCACTCCATGATACAAGGAGCTCCCACAGGGACCAGCTGTTTCTCCACAGGCCACAAGGGGGGCCTGGAAACCGAGGATGAGTGGATCAGTCCAAACCCCTCCCCACACCTGTCAGAACTTGGGTCCTCTTGACAGGTGAACAGAAGCATTTCCAATCCCAGGGGGCTCAAAGCTGGAAGGCACATCAGAGCCCGCAAGCCCTTTTAAGTTACAGATGGGGACGCCAAAACCCAGCGTCTTGGAGAAGCAACAAGCTCACACAGCCACGGGTCAGCACTCTCTCCTGAGGGCGCGGGGAGTACTGGGTTTGTGCACGTGGGACTGTTGTTTTAGTTATGGTTCAACACAGGTTTCTTCAAGTTCAAGGTCTGATGGAGGAAAAAGCATGTGTGAACGTGAATGTTTATATTTGAGTGTGAAAGTGTGTGCGGCGCTATGGATGTTTATAGCACATGTCGGCAGGTGTGTAATTCATGGTCCCAGCTCGGGGCGCCTGGGTGGCCCAGTCAGTTAAGCGTCCGACTTCGGCTCAGGTCCTGATCTCGCAGGTCGTGAATTCAAGCCCCACGTCAGGGTCTGTGCTGACAGCTCGGAGCCTGGAGCCCGCTTCGGATTCCGTGTCTCCCTCTCTCTGCCCCTCCCCTGCTCGCACTCTGTCTCTCTCGCTCAAAGATGAATAAACATCAAAAAAAAAAAAAAAATAAGTGGTCCCAGATTGTGTGTAGTAGGTGGTGGTCACAGCAAGCATGCCAAGGTCTAGAGAGTGTTATGCGCTGAACTGTGTCTCCTCAAATTACCAAGTTGAAGTCCTAACCCCAGGACTTGAGAATGTGACTGTGTTTGGAGACAGGCCCCTTAAAGAGGTGACTAAGGTGAAATGAGGTCATTGGGGTGCTATCCAATATGACTGCATCCTTATAAAAGAGGAGACACAGGCACCATCCAGAGGGAAGACCATGTAAAGACATAGGGAGAAGACAACCATCTACACGCTGAGGAGAGAGGCCTCAGGAGAAACCAAATCCATGGACAACTTGATTGTGGGTTTTCCAGCCTCCGGAACTGTGAGAAAATAAATGTCTGTTGTTTAAGCCCCACAGGTCTGTGCTCTTTGTTACAGCGGCTGAGCAGACTAATACAGAGAGCTAGCCTGGGGGACAGACGCAGTGCCATGGACGGGGACTGGAGCTGGGGCACAGCTGTCCTCCTCGAAGCAGGAGAGCAGTGGACGGTTCAAATCCGCTATCTGCCCAGAAAACGTCTGCACCCCTCCCTCCAAGTCTCTTGTACCATCCACAGGAAGGGAGGTATGCTTGAGCATGTCGAAAGGAAAGCAGCAAAATGGTGAAGACTTGGCGAAATCCTGTCACATAAAGATGAGATGAAGTAACCGGAGATATTCATCTGAAGAAGAAAGGACTCGGAGAGGGGCAGGGACAGCCAGCAGAGTGGGTGGGAGCCTGGCCTCCTAAGCCTCCTGCTGGGGTCTGAGGGAAACCAGGCTCTTCCATTTGCTAGCTGTGCGACCTTGTGCACATTAGTCAACCTCTCTGTGCCTCTGTTTCTGCATTTGGAACACAGGGATGATCTCTGTATCCACTTCCTAGGTGTTGTAAGGATTCAGTGAGGGAGTATTTGTCACGTGTTTAGAGCCAGGCCAGGCACACAATGGGTGCATTAAGTGTTCAGCACTCACTGGGCTCCGTAACAAAAATGTAATAGGGACGCCTGGGCGGCTCAGTGGGTTAAGCATCCGACTCTTGATTTAAGCTCAGGTCATGTTCTCCAGGTTTGTGAGTTCGAGCCCCACCTGGGGCTCTGCGCTGACAGCATGGGGGCCTGGTTGGGACTCTGTCTCTCTCTCTCTCTCTCTCTCCCCTCTTCTCCTGCTCGCTCGTATGTGTGTGCACACTCTCTCTCTCTCAAAATAAATAAATAAACTTAAAAAAACATGTAGTAGAGTTAAGTGGGAGTGGGTTTAGATCCGCGCCTGAGACACAGGGCTGAGAACGAGGGTCCGCAGGGGAATCTGACAGGACACGGGAAATAAAAGGAAGTCAATTCAAGGAAAGGAAGAGTGTTCTAATAATCAGAACCGTGTGAGGGCACAGCTCCTTGCCTGGGGGCCAGCGAACCTCCCACCGCAGGGAGCATGGGGGCAGAGGCCAGGTGACACCCGGTGGAACCGCTGTGCAGGGGACTCGTGCTCTGGGGAGGAGACCCAGCTGGTCCCCGTGTCCCTGTCCCCCAGAGCGCTTACCTTGCCCAAATCGAGCCGTCCGGTACACCTCCTCCACACCACGGAAGCCCAGCATGCGGCACACCACGTCCCCATCTTTCTTGTCCCAGCCGTCGTCACACACGGTGCCCCAGCGCCGCTCGTGGTACACCTCCACCCGGCCCTCGTGCGGGCCGGAGCCGTTCACCAGCCGGATCATCACCGCCTCCACGCTACCTGCTGGGGGCAGCTGGCAGTCACCACTGTACTCTGGACACCCCCCTGCCCCGCCCTGACTTTCCTCTACCCTGCCCTCCCCCCCCCCCCAGACCATGACCAGCAGAAACCCTGGTGTCTCATCCTGCCCTTAATCAGCCTGCTTCTCTCCACCTTTCTTTTTTTTTCTCTTAATAGACTTCATTTTCTCAGAGCAGTTTTAAGTTCCAGAAAAATGGAGATGAAGGTATAAACATTTCCCATGCACCCTTTGCCCCTACACAAGCCCAGCCTCCCCCAGTGTGGACATCCTGCACCAGAGTGGCGCACCTGTTATAAAGATAAACCCACACCGACACATCACAATCACACAGAGTCCACGGTTTACCTTCGGGTTCATTCTTGGTGTACATTCTGCAGGTTCGGGCAAATGTATACTGACGTGTATCCACCATTATAGTATCGTACAGAGTAGTTTTATTGCCCTAGACATCCTCTGCGCCCCGCCGTCTCACTTCCCAGCCTCTGATCACCGGTGACCACTGATCTTTTTACTGTCGCTATAGCTTTGTCTTTCCGAGAATGTCATACAGTTGGTATCACATAGTACACAGCCTTTGCACACTGGCTTCTTTTACCTAGTGATATGTATTTAAGGTTCTCCCTTGTCTTTTTGTGGCCTGATAGCTCATTTCTTGAGAGCAGCGAATAATATTCCATTGTCTGGATGTGCCACAGTTTATTTATCCATTCACCAACTGAAGGACACGTGCTTCCAAAGTTTGGCAATTATGAATCAAGGTGCTATAAACACTCCTGGGCAGGGTTTTGTATGGACATAAGTTTTTAACTCATTTGGGTAGATCCCCAAGGAATATGATTGCTGGATTTCTCTCTACCTCTTGGGACCGGGTGACCAGCAGTCATACCTACCATGGAGGAGAGGGAAGGGGGAACAGAGAAAAGCAAGGGACATCCAGACTCTCTGAGCAGGTGGCCCTGCTGTACCAGCACAGTAGGTGGGGAGCTCCCCGGGAAGTGTCTGAGCCCTGAGTTCCACCATTCAAGGCCACTTCCCCACTGAGCTGTGAGCATGAGAGTGTGAAGCCAGCAGACTTGGGTGTGGATTTTGTCTCTGCCGCTCACTATGTGTAAGCGGGAGACAGTAGTTCATCGAAAGATGCCACTTTTTATATGGCACATCACAACTATATATGCTACTAAGAAGGAAAGAGTTCTGCCAGTTACAGTGGCAAATGATGTCAATGGCTAGAAGCTTCCAGACTTTAGTGATGTGAAATTGTGTGTCAGGGGATCAGTGAGATATGGCAAGACATGAAGAGCTTAGAACAGTGCCTGGCACATAGAAGGCTCTTTGGTCTACCTGAATGACCTTAAGAAAGACTCAGAGCCTCTCTGAGGGTATTTCCTCAACTGTGACATGGGGACAACACAGAGGGCTATTGTGCAGCCTAAAGGAAGTCATGTGTATAAGGCTCCGAGCATGATGCCTCGTACACTGCAGACAGTCAGGAAATCCTGGGTCACCCCTTCTTCTCTACTGGCTGAAACTCTATCGCATTCATCTATAAGCTATTTAGCACAGAGCCTGGCTCTAGGAAATGAACAGTAAATGTGCTCCACGGATGGATGAATGAATGAAGATTCATCCCTTTGCATTAAAAGCACTACCTTATTTCTCCAAGGGGATATTTTGGGGACTCAAAGAGCACTGGAACAGCTGAAACAAGCCTTAGACTCATCTCAAAACCAGGGTTTGGCTGGGAAGTCACAGTGTCAGGCCATACAGGCTGTTAAGTGTCAGAGCTGGAGTGGGGGCTTGGGTCTCCTGATGTGTCTTCTTCTTCCTTTTTTTTTTTTTTTAAGATCACTCATTTATCCTGAGAGAGAGAGAAAGTGTGGGAATGGGGGAGGGTAGAGAGAGAGGGAGAAAGACAGAATCCCAAGCAGGCTCTAATGCTGTGAGTGCAGAGCCCAGCTCAGGGCCTGAACTCACGAACTGCGAGATCATGACCTTAGCTGAAGTCAGACGCTTAACCTACTGGCCACCCGGGCGCTCCTTCTGATGTGTCTTCCAAGGTCCTTTTCACCATCCTGCCTGCTCTCCACTCTGGGAGGCGGGGTGATGATCTTCACCCCTTGGAGACCAGAACTTCCTTATTTGATAAGACATTGGAGTGGTCACTGGGTCTTAAATCTGGCCACACATCAAAATCATTCGGAATGCCTGTGAAATGCAGATTCCTGGGCCCCCCGTCGGACCCACTGGATCAGAATCTTGGCAGTGGGAGTCAGAGGTCTGTATTTTTTTTTTTTTTTACAAGTGTCCCACATGATTCCAAGGTAATACATGTATGTCGACTGACATTTGGGAGTGATACGAGTAGATGAGCTGTAAGGTTTTTTCCAGCTCCAGTGTTCAGTGATACCAAGGCCAGGGAAGAGGTAACAGGTGTCTCTTTTTTTGCAGCTGGAAACCACCTGGGGCATGTAGGGTAAAGTCACTGTACTGTGACACGGTGACAAGTGAGTGAAATGATGCAGAAAGATCCTGACGTGGACTGCCAGAGAAAAGACCAAACCAAATCAAGTACTGTGCCCAGTAAGTACTGCATTTTTTTGGCCAGCTGGGCTGGGGGATCCCCCTTCCAATGACTGTGACCTTCATGGGCCCCCTGGAGGAGAGGGCAAAGTTGATAAATCCCACATTTGTACCACATGAGAAAGGAGAGGAGTTAGAATTGGCCATGTGTCTGTTATGTGCTGCCTGGGCTGGGGAAACCCCAGGATATTCTGCGTGGGGGAACTAAAGAAGTCACCAGGAAACCACACCATTCCCAAGGCGCTGAAAGATCACAGATGCTTGACTCTGAAAGGCTTCTTGAAATGCTTAATGCCATTTTCTACACATCCTTCATTGCTGACCATTCTCCCCATATGGCTTTGCTGAAAACACAAGCTCATACCAGGCTGTCAAAAAGAGATAAGGATGAGCAAGAGAACACAGGAATCCTGGAGAAGGAAACCATAGAAGCTGGAAGGCAGAGACTGGGTCTGAGACAGAGAAACTCCCCAGGGAGCGGTAATGACAAGCTAACCTAGAGCCAGCAGCAGCAAATGAGCCCTGGCCCCTGGCTGAGGGCTTGCCCTGGGTTTGGCTAGGATTGGCTGAGGCTGAGATGTCAGCCCTGATTTCTCACAGACCTGTCTCACCGCTGTCAGCACCCTGTCATGGTGGCAGTGGGCCACGCCAGGCTAGCTTCCAACAGAAGTCTCAGTGTGGGGTCATAAGTAGAGGAAGAAGTGACAGGAGAATGTTGTGGGTCCCAGAGCAGGCCAGGCAGAGTTCAGGGTGTCAGGTCAAAATAATAGGAAGAGGCTGGGTGAGACACAGGAAGCCAGGGCTGGTGTTCACAGATTCCCCCATATCCTCTGCTCTGACCAGCCTGAACTCACTGCATTCGTGTCTTTGTTTAACAAAATAAGTGACTGACCATTTGCTAAAGGCCTGGTCCTGTTCTAGGAGCTATGGATACATCCATGAACAAAGTCTCTGCCCTCAGGGACTGATATTTTAGTGGAGAGACTAGCAATGAATCTAGGAAACAAAAATATACCTATGGCCAAAGTAGTGCAATATAACTATGGCCAAGTAGTGATGAGTGCAGAGACAGGAACAGAAAGAGAATAGAGAATGAGAGGAGGTGCCATCTTGGATGAGGAAACAAGGAAGGGAATGAAGAGTGAGGGAAGACATCAGCTTGGACAGAAAGACAAGGAAGAAAATGGAGAGTGAAGGGAGGTGCCATCATGAATAGAGAGACAAGGAAGGAAATGGACATTGAGGGGGGTTGCCATTTTGGGTGAGGAGACAGAAATGAATGAAGAGTGAGGGAAAGGTGCCATCTTGGACAGGGCACAAGGAAGAGAATGGAGAGTGGGAGAGGTGCCATCTTGGACAGGAAAACAAGGAAGGGAATGGAAGGTGCCATCTTGGACAGGGAAACAAGGAAAGGAATGGAGAGTGAGGGGAAGTGCCATCTTGGAGAGAGACCAGGAAGGGAATGAAGAATGAGGGAAGGTGCTATCTTAAAGAGAGAGAGACAAGGGAGTGGAGAGTGACAGAAGGTGCCATCTTGGAGAGAGAGACAAGGAAAAGAATAGAGAGTGAAGGGAGGTACCATCTTGGATGGGAGGGAACAAGGAAGGCCTTGAGGAGAGACCTGAATGAGCCAGGGGAGTACATGGACTCCCCCAACTCAAAAAACCCTCTCTGTACTCCAGCCTATGCTTTTCTTGTCCCTTAAATCTCAGCTTACATGTCCTATCTCCCAAAAAAACCTCCCTTCATGCCCCACACCTGGCCAGGTCCTCTTCTATGGATGTATTTAGCACTTCATCTAATAATTGCCTATCTATCTTCTTAGGACACTGTGAGCGTTCCAGGGACAGATCACATGGCCTATACAGTGTTTGTACACCAAGATGCCCAAGCTGTGTAAAATGAAGGCATGAATGAATGAACTCAGATGATACAGATCCAGATGGGCAGGTCCTCTGTATGGGACATAGCTCTTCAGAGCCTAGGACTTTGGTATGAGTCAAGAGAATCTGCCTTCAGGGTATCCCACAGTTCTAACCCCCTCTTTATTACATCATAGCTCCGTCTACTAACTCATTCTCTAATGGCTTCTTTTGGTGGGATGGTCCTGGGTTCTGGACCCCAGGACTAGGCTATTGGTGAATGACTATAACATTCCAAATGAGAAAATAGGGATGTGGTCATATAATTATGGTGGGTACTAGAAGAAATCTGGAAAATGTCATCTGGATGCTGAAATATTGGAATTCCCAGAAGACTTCAATGTATATGGAAGTGACAAAAGAATATCTGGAAACAGGACAACCTCAAAAAGTTGCACACATATGGTAACCATAATTAGGGGACTCATAACATCAATTTTAAGGATGTCTCTCCAGTCTGTGCCCCATGGTCCTCA